GTTCTTGTCTGTACTTGTGGACTTGTGTTCTTGTCTGTACTTGTGTTTCTCGTGGACTTGTGAAACGTCATCAGACTCAGCCCAAGTACTGTTCCAATTCAAAGTTCCCATTGAGCCAAGCACGGTCCAAATGCCCGGATGTGGCTCCGCCCATTTTACCAGGGATGCATCGGAGGTGACTTGTCTGTACTTGGGACAGCCAAATATTCCAGAATGCATTTTGCACCAGCAACAGGAAACAATGGCGGAGGAGAAATCACACAACTGGAAGTTGAAACTTTCTAAATACTACTGTCAGCCAGTCTTTGTGACAGTATTGACGTCTCTGTAGCGTTTTCCTCGTCGGCAAAGAGTACAGCAATCCGGATCTGATCCATATAGATATATACATTGTATATATAATATAATACACTTATATCATGTTTTATTTTAAGTGAAAACTTGTCATATTTAGTTTGATTGTAAAAATACTTTACAGTAAATTAAACAGTGGATTAAACTCATGAGACCAGCTGAGGTGGTGATGTCATCAAGTACGCTGCTGTTCCAGTTGCAGAATGACTGTACTTGTGTCCTCCTGTCCTCCAAAAGTACACAAGTCCTTACTTGTGAACTTTGGTATTGAGAAAGTTCTCCCTCTCTGTCTCCCTGTATTTCTCTCTGTCTCTCTGTTTCTCTGTCTCCCTGTCTCCCTGTCTCCCTGTATCCCTGCCTGTCTGTCTCCCTGTCTCTCTGCCTGTCTGTCTCTCTGCCTGTCTGTCTCTCTCCCTGTCTGTCTCTCAGGGTGGAGTCTGGAATCGTTGCTGACATCGAGATCGACAGCTTGTTGCCGTCTGACTGTGACACGTTTTACCAGATCAAGAGTCAACCAATCAGGTAACAGCCTGACCTCTGACCTCCTGCTTATGTTTAATATGATATTATATTGTATTATATATTATATAATATTACATTATATCATGTATTCATACTTCATATTATATTGATTCTCTGTACTAAATCAAGTCATGTGATGATGTCACAGACTTCATTAACAGTAAATTCTCTTTAGTGCTTCAACAGCTTCATCATGTTCCTCCTCACTGCCCTCCAGGTAACACTAGTACACACTAGTACACAAACGTATACACTAGTAAACACTAGTACACACTAGTACACACAACGGCACAACTAATTTACCTCTCTCTTCCTCTCCTCCTTTCCTTTATTTTCCTCTACTTCTTCTCCTTTCCTCTCCTCCTCCTCTCCTTTCCTCCTCCTTTCCTCTCCTCCTCCTCGTCCTGCAGGGTTTTGATGCGTCAGGATCTGATGCGTCAGCAGGCTCTGGAGGAGGAGCAGAAGGAGGTGCAGCAGCAGCTGCTCCTTCGCCCGACAGACTCCTCCTCCCCCATCTCTGTCTCTGTGTCTTCCTCATGCAGACCTCCTGCTCAGGTCCCTGTGGAGGTGCTAAAGGTATGAGGAGGAGGAGGAGGAGGAGGAGGAGGAGGAGAAATGAGTGAAGATGTTTCTTGATGACTGAAGTGTTAGAAATCATAACTTACTATAAGTACATTTATCTCTACTGACTTTAAATCACTGGATCCTACATTTCCCAGAATGCAGCTTACAGCTGTGGTTAACATCTTCCCCTTGTGTCTCTCAGGTGCAGACTCACCTGGAGAATCCCACCAGGTATCACATCCAGCAGGCTCAGAGGCAGCAGGTGCGTCGGTATCTCTCCAATGCAAAGACAGCCAATCAGAATGCAGCTGGACCGTCACCAAGCCACTCCCCTCACCTGGGCCCCACCCCCAAACTACAGCCTGCAGACATCTTCAGAAAAACAGAGGTAGTTATATATTTAATAAGTCGGGGAAAAATGAATAACGTAATACAGGTGTGTCTTGTTTACGTGCTAAGCTAGGCTAAATGCTAGCAGAGTTCTGGTGAGGAAGGCGGGGCTATACTTTCCTAATATGGATACTCCTCCTGGTTTAAAATGGTGAAGGTAAACCTCTGTGTGTCATTCTGCTGTCTGATCCCATCTGTGATTGGTTAATTTAGATGGAAGATACAGTCATCGATGACATCATCAGCCTGGAATCGAGCCTGAACGACGAGTTTCTGACGCTGATTGAATCCGGACTACAGCTCGCCAACACGGTGAGAATATATATACAGGAAACATGCGGGAAACATACATGAAACATGCAGAAAACATACAGGAAACATACGGGAAAACTACATGAAACATACATGAAACATACATGA